TTATAAATAGAGACTGTTCTATTTACAATACATTTTTTTTTATTCTTCTTCTTCTTCCTCGCCTTAATCCCAACTACTTAGGGTCGACCACCCTTATCCTAAACTTCCACTTAACGCGATCTCCCACATCCTCTACGCTCACATCAGCTATCCTCGTATCGCATTCAATAAAATCTCTCCATCTCTTTTTTGGTCTTCCTCTACCTCCTCTTCCTTCAACATTCATTTCTACAATTGTTCTTACGGCTTCCGATTTTTCTCTTCTCATAACATGACCAAACCATCTAAGTCTATTTTCTCTCATCTTATCCACAATTGACGCTACACCTATACTCCCTCTTATATGCTCATTTCTTATCATATCTTATCTAGTCACTCCACTCATCCATCTAAGCATTCTCATCTCTGCACTACTTTCCTATCAACCGTCCAACACTCTGAACCATACAAAATAGCTGGTCTCACTACAGTCTTATAGAATTTACCTTTCAGCCTTATAGGAATTCTTTTATCGCATAAGACACACCAGACGCTTCTCTCTACTTCAACCACCCGCACTTAAACCTGTGTCTTATATCCTCGTCAATATCTCCGCTCTTTTGCACAACTGATCCTAAATACTTAAAACTTTTCACCTCTCCAATCACGTCTTTACCTATTGTTACTAATCTCCTTATTTCACCTACCTCGTGTTCTCCTTAATCAAATTCGTATTCTATATACTCTGTCTTACTTCTACTTATTCTTAAACCCATTTCTTCAAGAGTTGATCTCCACACCTCTAACCTTTGATTGATTTCCTCCCTATTTTCTCCTATTAACACTATTTCGTCAGCAAACAACATGCACCACGGCACCTCTCCTTATATTTCTCTAGTAATTTCATACATCACTATAATACATTTTTTTTTATCAATTATATATTATTTATTACAACAATATTCCATTTTAAAACATAAATTTTTCAATAATTACGACCATTTTAAGTGACAATCACACCTATTATCGGAGTAAGTGGATAATCAAACAAACAAGGTACTTGATAATTTAACTATTATATTAAAATTAATATGGCATTTCTCGCAAGTTTGTTTTTCTTAAGCGCTTTCATTTTTTATCTATTCTCTATTTTATTTATTTTTTTTAGCCACGTCCCTAAAAATTCAAAAGAAACAAACCATCATTTTACAATCGGGCCTAAATTCCATTAAAAATATTACCGAAATATTGCAGAACAATACGTGCAAACTAAAGCACACCATAGATACAATTATAAACGCACAACAAAATATATCATTCAGAATTTCGGTTATAGAAATAAAACAATCGTTAAATGAACACTTTTCCATGTTTAACTTAATTACCTCGGAATTTAAGCTCGAAACAAATGATCTTGTTACTGCACTATCAGCAACACGTCAAGGTCAGTTCCATGCGAATGTATTAAATACGGATACGTTAATAAAACATCTCGAAAAAATTGAAACCGAACTACCGACAAATAGGCAAGTACCTATCAAAGCAAAATTAATTTCAAATATACTAAATTTCATCGCACTAGTTAAACTTTCTGTGGCCATTATTGGCAATAACCTAATATACACACTAGAAATTCCGATATGTAAATTTTGGTGCCCCGAGGCTTATCAAGAAGCTGATGACAGTACAGAACTTCTCATAGGAACCGCTTGGTAGCCGACTATTGAAAGCTCCTCCAGGGCTCAATAGCCTGCGAACCTAGAAATGTGGTCATCGAATACGACGAGTGGTTATGTGCAATGATGAAATTGTACCCCCTTTTGATCCCATTACAAAAACATTTATTTTCAGGATTTATGTATTCTTAATCCCAATTCCATTTATATTGTATTCTTTTTTTTTCTCTAGAAGATTCCAAGACGAATTTTGACGGGGGAGGACGAACTGTGACAAATAGATTATTCGTCCTTCACCAACATTAAAAATTAACAACTATACTTGTGCCTGATCATTACAAACGACCCTACAGCTCAACTATGAGTATGTGGCGCGCAGGTGTAAATAAACCGATTACACATTTTTCTTAAATTAATTAAAAACATAACGAAGTCGGTCGACATTTCAACACGCTTGCGGCAACTTACCTTTATTTATCTGATGACTTACTCGGGCAGTATTATTGTGGTTACTAAATTAAATACTACTATTGTTTACTTAAAAGCTTCGATGCAAAACTGAGAAGGTATTAGTTTTACTATGATGTGTTTTTTTTTATTTTTAGTCGAAGACTAAAAATTTTTTTATCATATCTAATCGAAGACATTATCCTCATTTTCGACATTTTTTCATATTTTTTTACTTAAAACTGCCATAACTTTTTAAAAAATAACTAAATCAATATAATTTTTTTTTATATAGATGCATGATATTGTTACCTTTCATTTGGTATACTTTTTTTTATAAATCTGACTCTTTACCTGTCTACAGGGGGGAATTCAAAATGACAACTTTTTCACAAAATATTTACTTTTTCAACTTAACTTTTAAAAGTCTGACACTTTTATATATATATCTTAAATTAAAGCTAATGTAATATACTTTATAATGGAAAAAATAAATTTCAGACTTTATTTTGTCTTAACGGCGAAAATGGCTACCAAATGCTATTTTTGTGTGAAAATTCTCGATTTTATATTTTACATATTTAACTTTATAATGCTATAACTTATTGAAAAGTGTATGGATCAATACAATTTTTTTATGAGAAATAATATTTATATCCCTCTTTTATTTGATATATATTTTTTTTGAATAACACCATTTCCCTTTATATATTTATATATTATAAATATATATACATTTATTCATAAATTACACTTATAAATCATAAGACTTGTAATCAGGATATAAATAAGGAAATAGGAGATCATGTAGCTTTTGGAATAATCCACCAATTTTTTAAAATTAAACACTATCTACAGATTTGTATCGAAGCGTTTTTTATGATGTGATTTTAATCACTATCAGATATCATTATACTTGACCCAACTATGTCACATCCCCACTGTGCTAGGTTTTTTATTATTATTATTTCGGGTTACACATACTCGCCAACGTCACTCACCTAACTTGGATACCACCAACGTCTTTAGAGATCCAGTCAGATTATATCTAAATAAAATAAAATTGAAATAAATGCTTGTTATCGTTGTTAGTTAAGAGTCTATATTTATTTGGTCACGAAACCGCTAACTGCCCTTTAAGTGGGATATAAATTATATAGGGCCAGCGTGGCCCCGTTTAGCCAACAGCTTAGCCAACTGTTAGGGCCCTAGCGGTAAATGTACGTTGCAAGACCTAGCGAGATATGGAAACTAACCAACCTTTTATAATTTTAATACGATTCGTAATATCATTACCACTTTTTTTTATCAATTACTTTTATATTAGAAAAAAAATTAAACATTAATTTAAAATGATATTTATTATTGTTAAGTATAATGGAGTTTGAATGATCAAAACACTTGATGATGGATGAGATTCAAGCCACTATGATCAACCGATGTGCACTCTCATAGGGAAGACAAAGGTCAAGAAGTTGAACAACATTCTATGATTTCCTGCTATCTTTGAAAACCTAAGTTATTTCGATAATCAAGTTTTTTTACGGAATTTCATAATATTTATTAGTGATGGAAAATATCGAATAATAACTGTTGAACTATTCGATAGTCATTAAAAAACGATTCGAATAGTAAAAATATTCGATAGTTACATAATATATTCTAATAGTTTAGAAAATATTTGATAGTTTATGCTAAAAATAAAATATTCGGAGGTATAAACACAATTCGAATAGTTAATCGATAGTTTAAAATATTTGAAAATGCCCATCACTAATTTTTTTTATTATTAATTGTATCTTATTTATAATCGTTGTAACCTGAAAAAACATTTTTCAACAATCCTATTTAGATCGTTTGTGTTATTAAAACAGAAAAACTATAAATCTGACTATAATTTTACATTAGACAAATATTTTAGAAAATTTAACTTTACATATTTTTTTTACGAAACATTTTGTTGTAAAATGATTATTTCGAAAATTAAGAATGATTTATATTCAAAAAATGAATTTTAGCAAATTATTTTTTTATTTTATTTTTTTGAGCAAGTAAAAATAATTTTAGAAAATTTTTGTAAATACCATTTTAGAAGAAAATATTGAAATCTATAATTTATATTGTATACATTGTTACACTAAGTGGGTTGATTTTCAAAATAATAATCAAAAACTGAAAAATTATCTATTTGAGCGAATTTTCAACCTCGATTCGGACCAGAAGGGGGTGTTATCAAAACCAAATTTTACACAAATAACTTTCATATAATAAAAAAAAAATTGGCGGGTATGAAGACCGATCAATGAAAGTTAATAAAATAAGAACCACCCTAATATACCTGCGACTCACCCCAGTTCATTTTTTAAAATGTTTTAACTTCTGAAATACTAGTAAAATGGTACTTTTTACTATTATTAATTGTATAATAATTTATTTTAAGTATTCGTTAACTATCTTCTTTTTATAATTAAGTGTATTTAATAAAAATTTTAGATAGAACTAATCGAATATTTTTTAAAACTATTCGATAGTTTATGCTAAAAACACACTATTTGGTTGTGTAAAAACAATTCGAATAGTTATTTGATAGTTTAAAATATTCGAAAATGCCCTTCGCTAATATTTATGCTATAGTAGATTAAGTAATAAAATAAATTAAAAGAATTTTTGCGCTCATACATATAGTTGCACTGATTTTCTGCTGCCGAGCAAAGCATTGTTTTATTATTGTGACAAGTGAACTATCTGTTTTCATATAGTCTGTGATAATAGTTTGGAATAGTTATCAAGATTGATAACAAGTTCCCATCACTAACTGCCGGCATAAAATAACATATGTATTGATATGTTAGACGAGTAATCAGCAGTCCTGTTAGTGAACAGATGATATGATGAATTAATAAATCTCTTAACGGTGATTTTCGTGTTTTCTGTTAACATCTTATTATACTTAATTTATACATTTTCTAATTCATAAGTATGGTTTTTTTTTAAATAAATATTTAGTAATAAAAAAAAAATAAATTAACAATTTGAATTATATTTAAACATAGCATAAACTTTTTATTTGTTATATGTAGGGCCATAAAGACAAACTATTTTGTTATGTAACTATGTTCAATCATATTATAATTGATTGCTAAGTAAATTTACGAGTGTCAAAATTCTTTAAAGATTACTGAATATTGTGTCCAAAATTATGGAATCTCCAAAATTACTAAAAAAAGAAGACTCTTTTTTTTCTTTACCAGATGAAATGATGGTATACTTATTATGCCTTGTTGATGTGGATACACTTCTAAACTGTAGACTTGTTAATTCTGAATGGAGGTATTTAATAGATACCTATGTATTCCAAGAAAAAGCATCAAAAGAAAATCAATTTGTGAATGATGGTAAAGGATTTTATAGTTTTTCAAGTATTGGCTCAAATTGTGTAAACAAATTAGATTTGCCTTGGTATGTGTTTTATGTAATTTGCAAGTATGATCCATTTGATAGAAATCTAATTAAGAATCATTGTGGTCAAAGTAAATATTTATTATATTAGTATCTCAAGTAGATATAAATCTAGTGCACAAAGAAGTAAGTGCACTTTAAAGATTTTCTTAGGAGCTTCATTTAAAAATTTTAATAGCTATAAATCTCGTATTGATTTAAAACTTTGAAATTATATAAAATAATGTACAATAAAGCACTTAGTTTTTTATCTTTATTCATACTTTCATTCATTTCAACTAAAAATTTTACTTACTTTTGTGTGCCAGATCAGTATTTCTCAAATGGAGGGTTGTGACCCCCTTAAAGGTGTCACAAATATAGTTTTTCTATGATTGCGTCTATAGTAGAGGTTATTAACAATTTTAAAATCCAGTAAGGAGGTCGGTATGAAAAAAAAATTTGAGAAATACTGTGTTAGATCATCAATATTGTATTGATACATAGCTGTTAATAAAATGTATTTAAATTGTTAGATGATTATGATCATTGGAGTGTCCCTAATAAGCATAAATGGTGGGCTATTGAAACTACCCCTCAAGGTGCACCAATGCTACCAAATAATCCAGATTTTGCTGGTTATTCTAGTTGTTTTGTATCAACATATCGTCTATGTACTAAAAAGCAAAAAATTAATTTCAAAGATTATGGCTTAACACGACATTTAATGGAAAATATTGTACCAAAAATTGTAGTAAGTGAATGGTGAGTGATTTATAATCATGTTTAAATATTAAATAAATTATTAATTATTTGAACTATTTAGTTATTTTTGTTGTAGTAATGTTAAATCTATAAAATGTAGAAAGTGTTTTTATTTTACAAAGTCAAATGTAATTTTTACATTTATTATGATTGTTTTGCATTAAACAAATTGACAATAAAATAATATTTATAATTAAATATAATATACTACTGTTAAAAAATAATAAAAATATTTATATTTAGGTTTTCTGGTCGTTTTGATTGTGGTTGTAAATATTCATTTAAAGTAACTGTTCATGATAATAATGGTAAATTATTAGAACAACATAACTATGATAAAATTTTAAATCAATGGGAAGCAGATCAATGGACAAAGGTAGTAACATAAATTCTTGTATTAGTAAAGTAAAATCTTATATCAATTATGTAGCTTTTAAATATCAAATTTAATAAAAAAAATCATGTACCATTTTAGGTTTCACATACTTTTGATAATTCAAGTAATGTTTCCAGTGTTGTTCTTTTTCATTCTGGAGTTGACACACAATTTTGGGCTGGTTTTTATGGCACAAAAATAACAGGATCTGTTGTTAAAATAATGTTACCTTTAAAGTTTAAACTAGTTGAATGATTATTTATCCTACTTAATATATAATAACTTTTATTTCATAATATTTATTACATGTTGAAAAGATGTTTACTCATCAATTACGTCATTTATAAATTAATTATGTTAAAAATCATATTTTATATTATTGAGGTCATAAATAACTTATAATTATTGACCCTTTAATTGTAGTACAAGTGTAAAAGCAATATTTTCTATTAAATGATTTTTATACTTGTTAGTAATACTGATTATATACTATGTTTATTTCATTACACTATACATTTATTGTACAAAAATATATATTTTTGTTTTATTTTAAATATAAGGAAAAATGCATACAAAATTTTTGAAAATTGTATGTGATACAACTTAGTCTTGGTATATTTATTTTTAAATGTGCCATATTAATTGAGGTTCTAAGATTGTTTGTGGTTTCAGTATAGATTGTGTTTATCCAAAATTGTTAAACATTTTAGTTTTCAGTAGATGAATTTAGTTCATAAAATTCATCATAATTTGTTAACATTTATTTATATTTTTATCTGTAAAATTGTAAGTGGAGAAAAAAAATTCAATAAATTATATACTAGTGAATCTTTAATATAAAATCACTAGCTTTGTATTGAAATATTGCTACCCCTACTGGCAAAACTATTTATATATAATTATATTTATTTATGTTTACAATTATATTATAATTATTATAATATAATTTCTTATATATTACTTATTTTAATAGTAATAGTTATTACTATACTATGATTTTAGTCATTGTTTATATATATATATATATATGTTTTTTATACATTTAATTCAATGTTGTTGATGTACTTTATATAATAAAAAAATTAATAATTCAAATTGTTATAAGATTGGTTAATACTTTATTGATTATTGTTAAAAATATTTTATTATAAATATTATTATTATTTCATGTATTTATTAAATTATTTTAACCTTTAATGTTTAGTATAATAAAAAAATTATATTTTAATATTTTAATTGAACTACATATTAAATTTTTATTATACCATAGTTGAGATTAAAATAAATTTTAAATAATATTTATTATCATATTATTGAACAACTAGAAAAGTAGCTCTTAATTATGATAGTAGTGAAATTCAATACAGTAATTAAAATGTATTGTTTATAATGCTAGTAATAATTATATGCTGGTACTTGTTGATATCTATTTTGGTTGTTATACTTAAGAGCTTCAGCTGGTATATGATGTGAACAATATGGATAATTAGGACAACTTGATGATGATAGTCCAGCTGGATAACCTGGTTCAACATATGGTAAAGGAACTACAGGTTGTTGATGATAATTTGCAGCATTTTTTGGATGCGGAATCTCATCATAATTTTGTGTATAATGATCTTGGTAGGTAGCAGGTTGAACATATGCAGCCAATAATGCGTTATCACAATGAGGATAGTTAGGACATAAAGCTGGATTCATGCCAGATGGATAACGAGAACCACCAAATACACTTTGAATTGTAAAGATTATGGCCTATTGAAAAAATTGAAAATTTTCTAATTATTTCCAAGAGTTTCAAACACTACAATTTTATTAATCAAACTAATAAAAGTGGTATATTTGTTAATTGATCATTTAAAAAGTAGAGTTTTTTAAGCCAATTGATAATAATTTTTTATTTTCTAAATTATTCTTATTATTTCAGACAGGGATAAGTCTTTTAATTTTAAAAATAATATTTATTACTATTAAAAAAATATTATACAAAAGTTATATGATTAATATTTTAAAATTTGAAAATACACTTATATTATAAGAAAATTCTTAGTTATATTGTTATTTGATAAGTTTCTCTCAGCATAATGCTATATAAATTTTAATTCGTTTTCCAAAAAAAAACTTGAAACTAAAAAATACTTTAGGCGGCAGAAAAAAGTCCCCTTATTTCTTTGATATTTAAAATAAATTTTTATAAAGTACTTACAAATAATTTCAACATGTTGATTTATTAAATATATTTTAAAACTATTATTTAATACGCTTAAAAATGAATTGTTAAACACGAGTTACAAACAAAATATTATTTAATATAAATTTCTTGAAATGTTTGTTATTTATACACAATTTAAACCTATTTATTGTACTAAGAAAACCACACAGCAATGAAATGGTGGTATCATAAGCTATACAATAATCGTTCATTTGGAAAACCGCAACTAGTGTTTTTAGTGAATATATGAATTTTCAATTTGGTGTGATTGATGCAATCTATATCATTGCAATAATTATTTAAACTACCTTTCATCATTAACCAAAACAGGTCAGTACATCTAACCGACATATGACTTTTTTTTTTAATTACTCTAGATTTTACCACGTTTTATATGTTGTGTCATACTTTAATAAAAAATTAATTTCAAAATTTTCAGTCATGTGTCATCCTCAGTCTATTTTTAGGAGTGTTTATAATTTACGAATTACTGGTTATAAAGTTCTTATTGACCAATTGTTTATAATTATTTTTATACATTATTTTTTACAATTATAGCAAATAGTACAAAAATGTAACAAAAAATACTTATAATTTCGTAAGTGTACCCAAAATAATAATGTGAGTATTTAAAATATTTGAGTATCAACTTTGATTCTCTTGGGCTAAGCAATATATTTTATTTAATAAAATAACTTTCAGATTTATATAATTACTAAAAAAAAAAAAAAAAAATTGAAAAATTATTCTACCCAAATATCTTAATTTATATCTAAGTTTTGATGTACCATTATAATATTTTTAATATTTAAATAATAAAAATCATAATGATTATCTTGCCTCAAGCGCCAACTATTTCCGCTCTTCCCTAATCATATAAATTTCAATGATAGACAAATATTTTAGATTGATACACTTTGCATCTAAAAAAGTTAGTTTATTGATAAACATTATATAATTAGTATTTAAATAACATAAAGTTTTAATCATGTTGAATAGACAAATGATTTTTGGTGCTTATATCTAAAATACATATTTATTTTTTTAGTGGATTGTAATTTTTAATAAAGGATAAATTTTTAATGGTAATGACTAATGATATTAATAACTGCCAAAATTTAATTCATAATGGTTACGCAATATACATTCCCACTATACCAGTTTTCGATTATATTAAATTTTAGCTGCGATTCAGAGCTCGATGGTATTAATATTATTATGTTGTGTTTTTTCTCTATATTTATTTAAACACTACTTAAAAAATTGCAAATTAATTGATAATTACAAAGAATCTAATGGGATGATTGAAACTGGATATGAATACTACAGTACAGAATAAATAATAATAATTTATAAAAATAAATTTGTAATTTTTTTGTTATCAAACCTACTGAAATGTCCAACATATTTTTAGAATTTATTATCACAAGCGAAGTGAGAGTCCACCGTGTCAGGGGCACGTTGTAGCGGCCAGCTCGTTTCAAAAAAAATATTTATATTGCTCCATAAAAAAAATATTGAGCAAAAAAAAAATTAAAACTAATTCTACAAACCGGGATACGTTAATATAGCGTCCTTCATGGATTAATAAACAGAGGTCCAGAGGGTAATTGCCCCCTTGCCTGCGTGGCTAGCCTACCTTAGTTTACTGTAATTACAATTTAGGATTTTACAAAAATGAAATATTGTAATAATTGTAATTATAATATAATTTTTATTATTTTAAGCCAAAGAGGGCTACTACTCCAAACCTCATTATATAAATGATCTTTTAGCTTCGATGCAAAGCTGGTAAGGTTTTAATTTTACTAAAACGTGTTTATATATATATATATACATATATTATTTTTTTGTGTCTGTTACCACTTTTTCTCAGCTTTCACCGAATTGATATCTTTCAATAATTCGTCAAAAGATCACAAATCGTATCTATACAAAGACATTACCCTTGAAAAAGTATCTCTCGTTTGTTGGGGGAAATCTCCAAAAAAATTATAAATTTAAAAATCGGTAATTTTCGAAATTTTTAAATTTTTTTTTACTAAAACTGCTCTAACTTTTTTCAAAATAGAAGAATAGAAACAATTTGAAATACTGACACTTTTATATATATCTTAAATCAAAGCTTATGTAATGTACTTAAATATGAAAAAAATAAATTTCGAACATTATTTTGTATTCATGGTTAAAATGGCAATCGTATTCAAAAATATGCTATTTTTGTGTTATAATTCTCGACTTTGTATTTTATTTTATTTTAAAATATCTTACAAAAGTTTTTAAGTTATAAAAAAAATATTTAATTTTTATCTCATTTAGATTCAATAACTTGAATAAAGATTAAGGACCCCATCACTATAGTCTCTCTTCGTTTGAAGACATTTCTTTTTCTTATTAAAATTATTTTACTATGAGATTTTTTTTTTTTGGGACTCTCATTTATTTTCACAGCTCTCACTTGACCAATTTTTTTACCTCAAATGATCACAACTATTATCTAGTTAAAGATATTACCCTCAAACATTGAAAAAAAAATCCCTTTTATCAAAAAAAAGACAACCAGTTTTCTCCACACAGACAATTAATATCATTAATTTCTAATGTATATTAAGTAGTTATTGTCGAATTATGTTTGATATGATAATAGGTTTAAACTACAAAATTAAATAATTATACTTTGTGATTTATTAATTTTTTACTCTATTTGTGTGATATATAACTCTATCTGATGGCGTGTGTTTTTGTTATTATGTCAGTTCATGAATGTTCTCAACCCTCGCCCATTTTAATGACCAATACATTAAAAGAATATAATTTTAATCTAGATGAATCCATCTATGCTAAAAACCCATCAATTTTATACATATCTCAAAACTTTGTAAAAATGACATTTTTCTGCATTTTGAATCTGTTACAACTCTTATTAAAAGGCACTGATTTAAACGAATTTTTAATAATTTAAGAGAAAGTAATTTAAAAGTAAAAAATTGAAATAGGAAAATGTGTAAAAATATCAAAAGTGGAAATAAACAAGTCTAACTAGGCACAAATTGGGCGTTTTGCAGAAGCATAGACTTTCAAATATTTAAATTATCCCCTCCTTAAATAAAACAATGCAAATTTTAAATTCAATAAAATTTGCATTGTTTTATAAAAATATTTAACAAATTTTTGGAAAGCATATATATGACCTCCAATAATGTTNCTAGACTTTCAAATATTTAAATTATCCCCTCCTTAAATAAAACAATGCAAATTTTATCGGATTTAAATTCAATAAAATTTGCATTGTTTTATAAAAATATTTAACAAATTTTTGGAAAGCATATATATGACCTCCAATAATGTTGTTTGAATCGCTCCTATGCATAACTAATTTGACATGCATTCGTAAAAAATTTTAGTAGAATGCATGAGTTTGTATGCACATTTTATAAAATCATTAATACATTTTAATATAATAATTGGCCTATAGCCCTGTTAGCCTCCTGTGTATGCCACTGATCACTATAATTAAATTAAAAAGTATGTTCTCTAAAATTGATTCATTGTCTTGCAAAAATTATTTATATGTAAAAAGTTTAAAGACATTTGAAAGTTGATCATAAAAAAAGTTACGGCGAAGAGTTCACCTTATTTTGGAGAAATTGTAAAATCCAAAATCTTATTAAAAATATTTTTGTTTTAAAGTTAAATTAATTAGTTTAATTTCATTAACATGAAAAGTTTACCGATTCATTTATAAAATAAATACTATATTTAGCTTAAATATTTTTGATGATTATATTTCATCTGTAATACGTTTTTGTTAAAGTACTATCCGACAAGAATACGGTTCGATATTAATATTTTTGGTTAATCTACGCACTCACGTTTTACAGAAAAGTTTTCGGTTACGAGTTTGGTTTACATTCTACAAATGTGCCTCATAAACACGTCTAAAAAAAATTATTGTCATCTTAGGTTGTTATTTAGATGGTTTAATGTGCCATGTATTCTGTGTTTTATGTACAAATATTGATAATAATAGTTTATTATCTATATATGTGGTTCTCTATAAGACCGTGTTAACAGCTAATATTTTAATGATAAGATAAGAACGACACTGGTGAATTTGTCAATCGTTTTATGTTAAAGTCAGAAGTTTTACAAATTCTAAGATTTCTTTTTACTTTGTAAACACAATTTATAATATACAGTATAATTGTGTTGATTAATTTTTGAAGAATCATGTGGAAAGCGTCAGCAGGTCATAACATTGAAGTACCAGCTGAAAACATAGATGATGACTGGGAAACTGATCCTGATTTTGTTAATGATGTTAGCGAAGAAGAACAAAGATGGGGTTCTCGAACGATACCAGGATCTGGACGAGTTTTAGATCATGTTGAGTATGTTAAAATCTTAAATTAAATAAACTCATTAATTATAAATTAAAATTATTGTCTGTATAAAAAACTTATTTATTTATTTTTTTTATTATTTAAGGAAGTGATATTAATTTAAATTTTATTTTATCTATAATTCAGTATGAGCCAACTAAGAGAAGAAGTTACAAAATCACATGAAATCCTAAAGAAAAAAGAGATGGAACATGGACCTAAAGCTGCATTTGGTTATGGAGGTAAATTTGGAGTCCAAAATGATAGGTAATTAAATTTATTTTATTTTCAAAACTGTTTTAAGTTATTGATATATTCATGAAATACCTTTACGATTACTATTTATTTATATTTAGGATGGATAAGTCAGCAGTTGGACATGATTATGTTGCTCCCAAGTTCAAACATGTATCTCAAACTGATTATAGTACTGGTTTTGGCGGAAAATTTGGTGTTCAGTCAGACCGAATTGATAAAGTTAGAAAACTGTTAATTGCCTATTAAATAATTTTGAATCAGTAAAATGTAATTTCTTCAAAGTTTTGTTATTATATCTAAATTATATATTTGTAATATAAAACATTTTTTTTAAAGTCATTTACTACCAGATAGTAGACATTCTTTTGAATAATACAAACAATATTTAAAAATCAAACTAATATAAATAAATTAAAAAGAAAAGTTTAAATTACATAATATACAAATATATCTATTTTAATTAATGATATTTAATGAACCAGCTTTTGACTCACGACACACTTATTTTATCCAAGATTCTCTGAATAAAGAATTTCTATTCCTAGAAAAATATAGTTTCTATTCAAATTATGAATCAAATCTTTTGTTTATATTTTATAGCTTTATAAATTTCAACTATAAAAATTTTAAAATTGTCAATTTTTTGCTTGTGTCATACTTGTTCTAATATATTGTATATAAATTTGGATATATTTTTCTAAACACTTAATGTGTATATTTATATACTTAGCTGTAAAAAATCAACTATCAACTTACTTATAAATAATTGATATTTAAATTTTTAGAGTGCTGCTGGCTGGGATCACAAAGAAAAGATTGAAAAGCACACTTCTCAAAAAGATTATAGCTCCGGATTTGGGGGTAAATTTGGTGTTCAAGCAGATAGACAAGATAAAAGTGCTGTAGGTTGGGATTACATTGAAAAAATAGAAAAACATGAATCTCAGAAAGGTGAAATAATACATTTTACTACAAAATGTTGTATTTTGAGATAATGATAAAAAATATATAGCTCTACAAAATAAAATCTAAACTCTATATATGTGTGCATAATATATGCTATTTGGGCTGCTTTACTATTTTGTTATTAATAATATGAAAACTTTTATGTATTAGATTATACTGTTGGTTTTGGTGGAAAATTTGGTGTGCAAACTGACCGACAAGACAAGTCTGCTGTTGGATGGGACAGCATAGAAACTGTTGAAAAACATCAGAGTCAAGTTGATCATAATAAAGTATATACAATCAAAATTATTATTTATTAATCAGTGTTTTTTTTTTTTTTTTTTTTATTAAATAACTAAATTTTTTTTGTGTATTGTTAGGGATTTGGTGGTAAATTTGGTATACAAAATGATAGATTAGATAAGTCAGCACATAACTATAATGAAGGCTCAGGCTCTGTTGGAACTAATTACCAAAAAGTTAAACCAGAAATAAGTAAGATTAAAACTTTTAAATACCTGAATTATTTGACAATTTTTTTAAAATAAATATATTATTATTGTGCTGAAATTAACTTACATTTTAAAATTAAGTTAATAAACATCCTCATAAATGATTTAAATCAAAATAAGTCTAAAATAAAATCTTTTACTTTTTAGATAAATGTATAATAGCTAATTACTTTTGATTACTATCAATATTAACTCTCACTTTTATTTTAGCTTCTATAAAACCATCGAGCTTAAGAGCTAAATTTGAGAATATGGCTAAACAAGAAGAGGAAGAAAATGAAAAAAGGCGTTTGGCTGAACAAGAGCGGAGAAAACAAAGAGAAGTACAAGAGAAAAAAGAAGCTAAAGAGAGAGAAGAAAAAAGGTTAAAAGAACTTCAAGAAAATGAAGAAAAGAAACAAAAATTATTAAGAGGTCCAACCACCGAAAAATCTCTCCCTATGGTAAAAATTAGAAACATTTTTACATCACTAATTTTTTAAGCTATATATCAAGTCACTATTTTTTTAATAGTTGATTAACTACTAGAATAATTAAAGCAACATCAATGTATAAACAAATATTATTGAAAACCCCTTCAATTTTAGTATAAGTATTAAATATATTTATTAAAATTTCAGAAGGGACATTAAAAAAAAGTTCTTTAAGACTATATATCAGTCAGTACCTATTAGTACTATTTATATTTAGTGAGATTTTTTAAGAATGATACAATTCTATTTACTTTACTTTAAGTGTTGTATCTAATAAACATATGAAGTTGAATTAAAAATTTAAATGTTATTTACTATTCAAAAAAAATTTAAAATAATTTATTAAATTCAAAATATGTATTCCTATTTGAAAAATCAAAGTTGCCCCCTTACAAGGCATAAAAAAAGGACTTATCTTATAAAATAAATAATTATTATCATCTAATAATTTAAGAATGATGTTTAACTAAAAGTAACCAAAAATTAAAAAATATTTTTATTCAGCAAGTAATTAAGTGAGTTATGATAAAAAAATACTCTGTAAATATCCTTATGCGTAACAAATACCATTTACTCACTTTTCTGACTTTTCAAGTATACAAAAGTACATTTACCTATTAAATTTATCTATTATCAAATAAGTATTATTAAAATTCAAGCCAATTAAAAATTTATTATCTATTCATAAAATTTTTTTGTAAAAATAAGGGCCATTTTCTTATTTTGAAAAATATTCTAATTTTTGATGTGGTCTTAAAATGCAAAAATTATTAAAAAAAATATTACAAGAAAATTTTAATTGAATAAAATGTGATATAATTTGTCAGTTAGATTTTATCCATCATTTCTAATTATTATTTTTCATTTTAGTTTTAAGTTCATCTCTTTTTTTTATATATATAATATCATTTGATTTAATGGAATATTTTTTTAAAATATTTAACGTTGCAGAAAGTAGAACATGATGGTGACCTTATGAAAACTTCTGAACCTGTTCTACCACCAGTGGTTGTAGGTGCAACTATTCAATCATCTTTGAAGAATGATGAAGAAACATTAAAAAAAGTAAGAGCTGAAGAAGAACAACAAAGACAAAAAGAAGATAAGATTAAGTTATTAGAAAATGATCAAAGTAAATTGGAGAAGCAAAAAAAAAACGAACTTCAAAACTTAGAAGAAGAAAAAAAAAAGGTTGAAGAAGAAAGAAAAAAAGAAGAAAAAAATAAAGTAGAGGAAGATAAAAAAATGGAAGAAAAAAAGAAGGCACAAGAAAATAAAAGAATAGAAGAAGAAAGGAAAAATTCAGAAGAAAATAAAAAACGACTTGAAGAAGAAAGGAAAAATGCTGAAGAAAATAAAAAACGCCTTGAAGAAGAAAAGAAAAATGCAGAAGAAAATAAAAAACGTCTTGAAGAAGAAAGACAATTAGAAGAACTTAAACTTTGTGAACAGTTGAAAAATGAAGACATACACGAGGAAGATGCAGATACAGGTTATTCAGCTGTTGCATTGTATGACTATCAAGCATGTATGTATTTTTTTATACCAATACAAATTCTACAGTTATATATGTATATTTTATATTTGCATAACTGGTTAACAAAATGTATAATTTTGTTGTACCATTATATATATATTTGTTTTTTTTTATAGCTGCTGATGATGAAATAAGCTTTGACCCCGACGATATTGTAACAAACATTGAAATGGTGAGTGGTTTTACAAGGTTCTTTTTATTAAAAACTAGTTAACCTTAAAAAATGTGTATTTGTTTATATAAAATCAATGATTTAGGAATAAAAATATATAGGCATATTGTATTATAATTTTTGTTTTAATGGTAATTTAATAAAATCATTAAAATTAATTTTCAGATAGATGAAGGTTGGTGGAGGGGATTTTGCAAAGGGCAATATGGTTTGTTTCCTGCTAACTATGTTGAACTTCTACAGTAAATCTTTTTTTAGGATGATATTGAATTTAAAAATAAATATTTTTTAATATTCAATTTTTTTTTTTTTAATAATTGTATGCTGTTAAAGGATTTATATTCTTAAATTGAAATTTTGGAAAGCTCAATGTGTTTACTTAGTTTACAAAACTGTATACTGAAATATTATACATAAATTTTTAATAAAAATAACATATTTTTATGTGGTTAAAAAAACAAATTAAATTTTATATTTATGAAAATAAATACATATTAAATTACCATAATCATATTGAATAAAAAAGTAAAATTTTATCACTCTAATCAAATAATAATGAAATAATTTATTTCAATTTTATAATAATTTTTGTTTTATAATTATAATATATTAAGTGTGATACTAATTATTAATATGTTAACTTAATTTGTTTAAGGAATTGAAATAGCTAAATTTATGTTGTAGTAAAGCAACTCTAATATTATTATTTTGGTTAATTTTCATACAGCTGCATTAACATCGATAAATTCTTCCTTTTTAAATCTTTGCTACTCAATATAAGTAATACGTTAATGAGTCAACAAGCCAAATATAATAGTCAATGCTTCTAATCTGATTTGACAAAAATTAATGTATTTTGTTTAGCTATTCAGTCTATTAAACTTGTTTTACTTTAACTATGAATTCATGTAATTATTGAAACTATGCAATTATTTTGTGGTAATAACTGTAATTATATAGATTTTTAAATCTATGGAAAATATCTTATAAATTAAAAAAAATGTGATAAAATTATTGTAAGTAATTTTTTTTTCATCATTAATAGTTTATTTATTATTATTAATATGATTTTTTACTATCAAATTTTTATAATATAAAAATAACTCTATTATTTATTATTTCTTGAAATATTTTAATATTAATAAATTTATGATTATTTATACGAAATATTAGTATTGTTTATACAAAAATTATCTATACAACTGTATGTAATAATGCATTTAATATTTAAATAAATAAATATGTATGCGTAATATTAAATGATGATGAGATATGTTTATAATTTATTATTAAAACCTGTTTCAATTATCATTTTCAAACACAATGTATTTAGTATTAAATATTAGGGAAGAGTTGAATATATGTAAATAAGTATAAATGATAGATTTTAAGATCAAGAAAAAATATTTATTAGCATAACTTTATCAGCATTTAATTGAACAGTGTTAAAATACAAATTACAATGAAATCTGTAAGTAACAAATTAAATTATAATCTATTATTATTTTTAATATAAAAATTTATTGATAGATTTTTGTTTTTATGACTGGTTGTGTGGTATTACATTTAATTGAGTGTCGACCAGCAGAAATTGTTTTGCAGACAAATAATCAAGATGGTTCTGGCCAGTTTATAGCTCAGTAATTAATCTAGAAAAATGTATGAAAAATTTATATTTAATTAAATGTTTAGTTTTAAATTACAGATATAGGTTAGATGATGGTACTGGAGAAGAAAAATATGGAAAATTAATGCCAAATAATAATGGACAGGATTCTGTTTTAGTACAACATGGTTCATACACAACAAATATTGATGGAAAATTAATAACTTATAATTGGGTAGCTGATACAAGAGGCTATAGAGTATCTAAAGCTTAATTTTTGATAAATTTAAGTGAGCTTACTTTTTTAGTCATATATATATTCTTTTTTTAAATAAAATTCTTCTATTACTAATTTACATCGTAAACATAAACCATTTTGTTTATCAGCTGTCCATTTTCGACATCTTTTGCATAAATGACTTATAGATTTTGTTTTTTTTACAAAAATAGAATCACTTGTAACTAAATTAATTGAATTTACTTGATACAGTTCAATTAAATCTGAAATTGTAGCTTTGTTGTCTGGGTGTAAAATCTTAAAAAGTTATATTACAAAAGTATAGTATTAAAGTGATTAGTTTTTAAACAAAATATTATCAAAGAAAAAATGTATCTTTAAATTGTTTAAATGTTTTCTTTTAACTAAAAACAACATTTTTTTTATATAATACAGTTTTTTCTATTATTAAAAGAGTAAAAGAATTTACAGTGGATATAACAAAGCCATTTATCTTAAGAAAAGATCTTTTTATATGATAACTTAAAAGTTTTGACCTCCCATTAAAGTTACACTGTTTAATACTTTGTTTGTAACACTTATTTTATTTTAAGTTAAATTTCATTTAAGTAGTTTACATATTAAGATAGAATATGATAAATTATTTTAAATTATACAAAGTATCAAAAATCTAAAATTTCAAAATATTTCATTCTTACTTAATACAATAATATTTTTCAAAGTTATTACCTGTAATTGTTTTACAGCCTCATTGGATGCTCCTATAGTTAAGGAATACTCCAATGAATTTAGTCCTTTTAAAACATTTGTCACATCATTTTTAATAATTAAAGCATTATCTATAATATTTTTAACATTCTCAGAATCAGAAATTTTTACTTCATTTATACATAATTTAGGTGATTTAAAGTAAGTACTTTTTTCTGAAATTAAAAAAATATAGGGTAAATTGTTGTAATTAGTGTATTAACACTTTTATTACTTAATGGGTAAAATTGATATGATTCTTCAGCTAAATGAGGTAGAATAGGAGAAATGTGCTTAAGAAGAGTTTCAAATGTAGCTTGAATTGTTGCAACACATGCTAAGCGTTCACTTGAATTTATGTGATTACAATACAGTCTAAAAAATATTATAAAATATATATTTGATACCAATTTCATTTTTGAATGTCAGAAATTTGTGGTCTTAAAGAAATGAAGCCACAAATTTTATCTTCAGATTTATCATATTCTAATCAATCATTTTTAATCGATTAATAAAGATAGAAAAGTATGTCTGGCAGTAATTTTAATATACCAAATATATATCGGTATTATCATTTGACAGAATTAAAAATTACTGAAGAAAGTCGTAAGTACTGGTATCCAGATTTTTTTAGTATTTGCAATAATAATAAAATGTACGATAATAACTGAAATTTGGTATTAACAGTATTTACTAAGTTTCGGTAAATATTAATTTTTTACCAATACTTTTCACATTTTAATACTCTACTTGTAATTGTACTCTAATTTTACTCATTTTTATAATAATATTAAATACTTGTAATAAAATAGCACGTGTCTTTTTAAATAAATGCGGGAATTCTTTTAATATTGTTGTTGATAATTTATCAATAATCAGCAAAAATATAAAAATAAAATAATAGGATTATCATAACACTAAAAATAGTTACTGATGAACCTATAAATTTATTACATAATAAAAAAATTATGACTATTGATAAACTACAAAATAAAAGTATTTGATGTAAATGTGGAAATGTTTGATATATCAAATAAAACCAAAATAAAGTTAATACCAAATACTAGTAGTAGATCTAAAATACTGCCAGTCATAGAAAAAATTTCTCAATAAACTGTTGTCTGATACAAAGTAAAATATTACAAAACATTCTTTATGAAACATACCGATCTTTAATGTGATGAATGTATAACCCAGACACTTGATTAGCAATAAAATTTAAAATTTTAGCACAAATTTTGTTATATTCAAAATTTTTATAGAGCACGTTACATTCTTTATCAAATTTTTGTAGTTCCATTATCATGTACTTATCTAAGAATTTCAGGCTATTAATACCAAGTTCAAATTGATCTTGTGATGAATCATTCAATGAACCAAGCAAAAATCGAATAATAAGACGAAGTTTATCAATTGCTTGTTTGCTATTAGCCATTGTTTCCTTAGAAATAGGAATATTTGTATTATGACAACCATGTCCAGCAACCCACCATCTAAAAATTTAATTAAGAGAAGGTGACATTATAAGTTATAATAATTTGTAATTTTTAATTGAAACAGAAATTTTTACTAGATGTTTGATAAATCAATTCTGAAATTTTTAGTCTCAAGCCAAGTAAATATAAAATATTTCAATTCCCAAAAGTTCATTGAGTTTAAGTCTTATTCCCTATATGATAAAAATTAAACTATACAATACCTAAGATTATCTATTCCGCTAATTGATTTCTCATATTTTCCATTTATAATATCTTGAGGATCAACTACATTTCCAATAGATTTTGACATTTTTCGTCCTTTTTCATCAACCACAAAACCATGTATAAATAAAGATCTATTAAAAAAATTTAATATTGAAAATATGATTTTATGTTTTCTTTATTTAGATTATAATAGAAAAAAATTGTTTGCTATATATGCCTCTTTTTTTCTTTAAATACTCCTTATCATGAAATGAATAAAGCCTTCCATAAAAATATTTTTTATAAAAATTTAAATAATCTGAATAAAAAACTCAGAATTAAAATTTTTTACAGTCAAATATATATGTATATTTTTTTTTAAGAGGGGGGATGGCAATTCAACCAAGTTATAGACTAAAAATATGATAATCTGTGAATCATCTATTATTTGCTTACATTCATACCACAATTTAATAGAATATTTTTTTTATTATTTATATGTTATAATATATCATTTTAGTTGAAGTCTTAGTAATCTTATTATTTATATTATGTATTTATTATAAGTAGTAATTCAATGTAACTTTTGGAATTTAAAAATACTGTGCAATGAAATTTTTCAGATTTCAATTAATGTTTTAATAATTATGAAAAATATACAAAAAACAGGTTAAAATCGAAATCAAAGTATACAGAAGATAAATTAAATATAAATCCAACTGTAATAATAAAATTTTACTAAATTCATTAAAAAATTTTTGAATTGCAGTATTATTAATATCAGTCTTTCTTAAGTACAATTTCTTGTCAGTTTGAAAAAATAACTTTATATTAAAAATATTTAAATAAAAAAACCACAAAAAAAGACTAAAAATTGTGGATACGTATTTCGGTAATACATACTCATAGTATAAGTTTAGCACTGAAAATGATAAAATTGTTCCCGAAACAACTTTTTAATAATTTAAATTTAATTTTAATCAAAAATTTGCACAACTCTTTTTTACACATGTTTAAATTATACTAAAAAAGTAAAAAAAAATAATTAGTTTTTAATTTTTTTCTAATGTTTTAACTATTATTTAATTACTAATGTAATATTTTGCCATTAGATTTAGAATCAATATTGAAATTTCTTATAGAATATAACTAAATATTGTAGACAATAAAATTTGTTTAAATTATTTGTTGTCCTGCATTATTTTAAAAATGGTTTTATTATTATATAATCAAAACTAAATTACTTGTAAGGAGAAATATTTCTTAAAGCTACAGATAACATGAGAGATGACTGAAACCATCCTGTACATTGATCAACACCCTCAACATATAAATCAGCAACTTTGTCATCTCCAAGTACACAACTCCAAGAAATACCACTATCGAACCATATATCCAGAATATCCTATGATTGAATAGTAAATGATATTAGTTAATAAAAATAATTTATGTCGCAAATACTTACATATCTTCGTTGTAAATTAGATTTCTCGTGCGAAGTGTTAAGAACTAATTTTTGAACATCTTCAGTCCACCAAAAGTCTAACCCAGATTCATTTAATAGTTTATTGTAGTTTTTTAAAAGATTCCTTAAGGAAATATTTAAATTATAAGTTCAGAAGAAAAAATACAATTTAAAAGTATCTAAACAATCATACTCATCCAAAATTTCATTATCTAAATTATCATATAAAACAGGTATAGGTATACCCCACATTCGCTGTCTTGATATGCACCAATATGGCCGTTTTTTAATTAAGGATAATAAAGAATTTCGACTTCCACTTTGTTCTGGATAAATTTCAACATTTTGTAAAGATTCCTATAGTAAAATGTATACATTTGTACTACTTAATAATGTATTTGGTAAAATAATGTGCCTAAAAATATACAATAGATTGTCTTTTAATTGTAGATGTATCCAAAAACCATTGTTTACTAGCTCGAACAATAACTGGTAATTTTGTACGCCAATCATATGGATAACTGTGTTCATACATTTCTAGATGTAATATTTTATTAGACAGCAATGACAAAACCATATCATTTCCTTTATCCAATACAGATAATCCTTTTAGTTCAAGCCATGATTGATGTGTATAAACTCCACTTTCATCCACGTGACATTTCTAATAACAAAATCACTTAATGTTTATATTAACAATAATTTATTATTGAGAAAAACAAAATGTACTTGTTTATTACATAAATAATTTTTATAAAATAGTGACCTACTATTGGAATATTATAATTTAATGCTACTAAAAAGTCTTCATGGCTATAAGCAGGAGCTGTATGAATCAATCCAGTTCCTTTATCTGCGGTAACATGGTCTCCAGCAAAAAATTGTTTGTCACTTTCTTCACACCTTAAACTTTTATATTTTAAACCACTAAGACAATTACCTAAAAATAAAGACAGATTTAATACTCTTATTTTTTATTTAATATGTACTTTATTATATTTACCTTTAAATGTAGTAATGATTTTAATATTCTTTTTTAATTTAGTACTAAGATTTGTTATTAGGTCACTTGCTAATAGGTAAGTATCAGAAATACCCGTTATTTTTACTAGAGAATAGTTTAATACTGGTGAATAAACTATGGCAGCATTATCAGGCAATGTCCATGGAGTAGTAGTCCAAATCAATGCAAATACAGAATTTTCACAGTAATTTTTTATTTCAATAGGTAAACTGGATGAACATAACTCAAACTTAACAGTAACAGATTTGCTTAGATGATTAGGATTATATTCTAATTCTGCTTCAGCCAATGCACTCCTAATAAATAAATTAATAATTAGTTAACTAAGAGAAATTGAAAAAATTGATAAAAATTACTTAGATGATGGAGACCAATATACTGGTTTTAAATCTCGATAAATAAGGCCCTACAAAATAGTATTTATAAAATATTTAATAAGTAAACTATTAATATTTAAGAATTACTTTCTTGTATAAATTATAAAACTGATATAATTGTTTTTTAATGTATTTTTTTTCATATGTATAATAGCAGTTAAGATCCCAATCAGCAAGAATACCCCATGATCTAAATATAGCCTTTTGTTTTTCAATTTCTTTTGTAGCATACAATTTTGCTGTAATTATGTAATATGATAAATCTCTTATCTTTTAAACAATTATGTATTTTTATTATTAATAATGTTAAATGTAATTCAAAACGGTACAATAAATATTTTACCTCTTTTTCGTACTTCTAGAGGACTAAAATTATTCCAATTATTTTCATTTAATTTCTCTACTTTGAGCTCAATAGGAAGGCCATGACAATCCCATCCTGGCACATAGTTGATTTTAGATCCATTTACAAGTTTGTGACGTATAGTAATATCTTTAAGAATCTGAATATTAATTAAAAATAATAACATTTTAAATAAATTTGATTGTTATTTTATGACCATGATAAAAATTTTGATGTAAATCTATAGATTCTATGCCACACTATAAGGCTTAACCTTAGCCCATTATAAAAATTCTTAGCTCACTCTAAAGTTTAAATAAATTAAGCAAAAGAACAATTCCTATACCTCAGAACTAGAGTAATTCAAGTCCAAAAATTATGATTTTCAGGTTATTACATTTTTTAAGCAAAATTAATGTTTACATTAAATTTAATCAATAGAATTTTTTTTGGATGGCACTATTTTTATCAAAATTTTTAGTTTAAGCCCTAACTAATGTTTGGGTTAAAAAAAAGTACTAGACATAATTTGTATTATAAAGTAAACTAATGATATATTAATCATACCAAATTTTATTTCAAATTCTGTAGTAATTCAAAGAAGGTACATATTTCTGTTACTATGCTTTTCTGAAAAATTTACTAATAATGACTTACATTTGTCTAGTTCTGAAGTACAGATTTTAAAAAAAATATATCCTCTTATATAATTTAAATATAGTTTGATACATCATCAAAATTTTTGAAATCTTTCATTTCTGACAATATCTATCCTACGGCAAAGTCATCCAACCGAATGAATTTTTTAAGATTTAAAAAAAATTTAAAAAATATAAAATAATTATTTTAGTACATTTAAAACATGAAAATAGTAGATAAATTTTCACTATTTACAGAGTGGTCCACAACGTTTTAACAAATCAAATAACTTTTGATCTACAAAATATTTTGTATTGAATTTCTTAAAATAATTTATGCATTCTAGACTATGTTAAAATCATGTTTTTTATTATTTGTTTTAAATAGAAATAAAAAAAAAATTTTTACATTTTATTTGTGATTTTTTTGAAAATAGCTGTTTTTTAGTTTTCTTCTTACAAAAAATTTTGTTGGATTGGTAACAACTTAAGTATAAGTATTAATTGAGTTACAAGTATTATAATACAATGAATGGGTATGTTGAATAAGTGGCTTATATTTAGCTCTTGCTAAAATATATTTATAATTCATATTTCATTCTAAAAACTAACTAATTCATGAAATAATTTCTATAATCCAAATCTAAACACACAGTATCAACATATACACAATGCTGTTAAATTAATTTTTTTAAACTGACAAAAAACTGTACTAAAAAAAAATTTATAATAATTGTTGAATAGAAAAGGTTAGGTAATAAAAAAAATTAGAAGTTATTTGTAATATAATAGTGTATAATACAAAATATCAAAACATAATATAAGAGATATACAACGGCAACGAGTCACTTTACTCGATAGACGGCAAAACTACGACTAAACTGTAAACAGGTATACAATAGGCTGCATTGAATAAAACAATATAACCGAGTAAGGAATGTGTCCCATAGACCTTATACTATACTAACATAAGTAAAAATGCATTAAACTGTTATCTTAAATAATATTACTGTACCCAGTGTGTTGTTTAATAATATCAACAATAATAAAAGTGCAGTTTTTCAAAATTTCACATTTTTCATATTTTTACCTTATTAACAGCATGACCCATATGAGGCAAGCCATTTGCATAAGGTGGTCCATCATGTAATATAAATTCATTACTATTTACATTTTGTCTTTGCCATGAATACAGTTCAGAAAATTCACAACTCTAAAATATTAATAAAATAGAAATTTATCAATATTTAAGCATATATATATCATTTATATATACTTCATAAACATTATTATCTCTTTCTAACATTTGGGTAGTACTCAGCCAACTCTTAAATTTTGTTTTAGGCAAGAAAACTGATTTTTTAATTTCAGTATCATTATAATACAACCTTTTCGATAACTGTAAGAATTTAACATTTTTAGTTACAGTATACATTAATAATTAAAAAAAAAAATATATATATATATATAAATTTAAAATCACACTAATATCAATCAAGTTTAGTTAATTTATGTACTATTACAACACTAATTGTTTTAAGTATTTTTCTCAATTTTTGATAAAAGACTTGCATTGAATTTTGTTGTTGTAAAAAGAGATATACAAGATGCAATAAACAATTTGAAATTTTAATAAAATAAATGATTTTGTAAATCTTAGCGCAGCACAATTGCCGGCCTTCTTGATCAAATACATATAACATGTTTTGATAATATTATCATAACACATGTATATTATAATACAAAGTTTTATCTTATCTGTGATACTTTTAAAACAAATTATTTATTTTTAAAATGGTAGTTTTCATTTATTAATTTAAGGGGGTTTGTTGTAATAATCAAATAAATCCAACTTTTTAGAAAATAATTTTTTGTCTACTTTGAATAAATTTTTTTTTTTGGTTAATTTAGTGCAAAAATGAATTTTACAATCCTATTATCTGTAAAGATGTATAATTTAGAAAAATATTTTATCATTGTTTTTAATGAAATCACATTTTAAATAAATTGCTTCTGAAAAATGAAATAAATGGGACTTATTTGGATGTTGTAAAAAGCTCTTCAATTAAAAAAAAAAAACTTATAATACCATTAGAATCAAAGCAATTTATTCGTTTAATTTCTACATGCATCGTTCTAATTAAAAGAAGATACATAAGTATCATAAGAAAACTGATAAAATGTACTTGAGAGATAATAATTACATAAGTTTTCGAAGCTTAAAATGTCATTACTATGCTAATTTAAATACTGTCTATTTTGAAGTAGTCTAATAATTTCTTAAATAATTTTTGTATTGTTTTAAGTATTTGGTATTTTTTATTATTAGAGTTGCGTGTCTAATTTTATGTATTAGTGAAAATTAAATCCAAATTACGATGGTTTTAGCAATTTTAGAATCCTGTAAACAAGTATTGAAAGATTCACAAGATGTAAAAATTAATTATTCAAGGATTCCATATTTAGCCAATAAAGTAAACAAAAAATATAGTATTCTATTTATAATATCGTATTATTAAAATATCATCCAAAATCAAGATCCAATTAGAAAGTGGTTAATTAATGAATAGTATATAAATCTGTAATCTTGAGCAGCATAGTATGGTTTAATCCTCTAATAATTATTTCTTAGTTATCACAAAAATTGAAAACATGTAAATATACTATATGAAAATATTTTATTTTGGAATGGAGAAGTTTAAATTTAAAATTTCTAAAAAATTGAATAATCCTATACATATTATATTGTGTCCTAAATACTATGATCATAATGTTCACTTCATATTAGTATACAATAAATATAAACATTTTAAGCAAGATTGCTTGAAGTGCTTGAGGATATATCCATGTTTACATGTAAACAAGTTTTAACACATTTAAGCAAGATGTTATAAAAACTAATACATCAAAAACTTTTTTAAAGGATTCTCCTTCTTTGGTCTTGTAATTTTTGTATGGTTTCTGTATAAAATAAAATTATTAAAATTTGTTAACACATCTTTGTTTTTTTAATAAAATATGCTAATATTTATATCTTAAATAAATTAATTCGAATACCAGTTCTTATTTAAAATAAGTATGTCCTAATCAATGTATTTTTAGTGCTTCTCATAAGAATAAAACATGATTTTAGATTTGTGAAAAAATACTTAATGGAATATTGGTGCCAGAAGAGTTCAAAAAAAGTCCATTACATCCTAAATTTGAAGATGAGGGTGCCGTTAACTGGATATTTATTATTGATTCTTTAAATTTCTGTTTTTTTGATCCTAATAATAAACGTCATTGGACTGTAACATGGAAAAATGAAATATATACTGGATATTTTGGATTGTGTGCAGCAATTAACAAAGCTATAGAAGTTAGCCTGGTTATGTTACACATTTTTTGCTTATTTGATTAAAATACTTGATGTTTAAATATTTTTCATTTATAAAAATGTTGTAAAAAATTAAATATTATAAATTAATGATTAATATAACATTTAATTTTTAATTTAAAACAGAAAGGAATTAACTTAACTGATATGAAAATTTGCAAAAATTTAACCAAAGAACAATTTTATGAAATATTGTTGGGAGATGATGGAACAACTTTACCATTATTAGAAGAAAGATATTTATGTTTGCAACAGTCTGCTGAAGTTCTATTGAAAAAATATAATGGTAATTATGAATTAAAATAATTTATTTATTGTAGATTTTAGCATTACTTTTTAGAATTTTTGTATTTTATTTTAATTTAAACTATCAATTGTGTTTTAAATATCAAAATATAACGAAGAAAAATGTTTTTAGGCGATTTCAAAAACTGCATTGTAAAAGCTAATCAGTCAGCACAAAAACTTTTAGAAATAATATCTGCAAATTTTCCTTATTTCCGAGACGAATCAATTTATAATAATGAAAAAGGTACTTTGATCTACATTTATTCAGTACATATTATTTGTACATAATGTCATATTTTAGTACTTATTTATAAAAGAGCACAAATATTAATTGCTGATATTTGGTCATCATTTGGCGGAACTAGCTTAGGGACATTTCATGATATTGATTCAATAACTATGTTTGCAGATTACAGGTGAGCTTATATTTATTTATAGTAGACTTTGAATCTTAAAAATAAAATTTTATTTTAAGAAAAATTTCAATTATTTTTTAGGGTTCCACAAGTTTTATTATATTATGAGGTGTTAGAATACTCTAAAAAATTGAAAGATAAATTAATAAATGGTACATACATATAATAATTGAAAATACTTAATTATATTTTGTTTAACTATAAATTTTAAAAAATATTTATTGCAGGTACATTATTGTTACATGGACATCCAGAAGAAGTTGAAATAAGAGCAGCTTCTATTGTTGCTGTTGATTTTATTGTATTTGAAATAAAACAATTACTGGTGAAAAGCAATAGTACTAAAATTTGTAACTCTATTATGGTGGATACTTATTTATGGGGATTCCGTAGAGAAAATGCTGCTATGTTAGAGAACACTCCATATCATAAAACATTAAACATTTTTTACTAAATTACCAAAACATTGATATCATAATAATTAGGTATTTAACTAGTTAACAACTTTATTCAATTTTATTTTAAGTTCATATTTTTAACAAAATAAATTACTTTTATCTATAATTTGTTTTTAATTTAATAATTATAAATTTACCTTTTCAAAAGTTTGTTTATCAGTTAATCAATACTATAAGTCTTTAGTCAATACTATAAGTCTTTAGTCAATACTATAAGTCTTTAGTCAATACTATAAGTATTGTGTCACTAAGAAACAGTTCAATTAAAACAAATTGTCTGCTAAGTACAAATAATGATTCTCTATGGAAAAAAAAATTGAAAATATTAATTTAAAAACATGGCATAATTAATAAAAAGCAACCTCAGCAATTATGTAGATAAACAAATTTTAGGAACTACTATAAAGTATCCTGTTGCTAAAGTAAATGTTTATCTGTATAAATGCATTTAAGTTCAAGAATTTTTTTGTTAACTTTTTATATATTAATACTTTGTAGTTATACTCTAATCAAAATACTATAGATATATCTATTAGAGTAAGAATACCAGACTTAGGTTGTTCAACAGTTTTTGCCAATATTAATATTTAATGTTTAAGTTATTTTAAAGGTACAAACAAATTTCTGAAACTACTCTTATAGTTACATCAAAAATAAAGTAAATTGTAAAAATTTAAATACATTATATAACACAATTTAATACAAACATTGCATGGTATATTAGAATATGTAATCTTTAATAGATTAATAATTCATTAAAACTAGGACTTAAATTTATAATTTCTTTTAAATCTTAAATTTTAGTTTTAATTTAAAATTAAAAGAACTAATTATGAAACTTTAAAATTAATTACAAAATGATAATGTATTATTTTTTATAGTTTTACAGCTTAGTATAGGAAATAAAAAAAAATGCCTTACTTTTTTTATACAGAAGGCATTTTTTTTCTTTTATTAGTATTAGTTGATACCCGACAGTGATTAAAATCACTGTCAGATTCGATGAAAACGCTTTATAGTTTATAATAGTCGCTTTAAAATTTATAGTCTATAGGTAAAAATAATAATATTTAAGTGTGTAAGTTTTCTCTAGTAAATCAATTCAATAAAACATCGTACTTTATTATTTGTAAATGCCAAAATCAAAGACCTTTAGTAGATTTCTTTTTTGTGTTAACGTTGGTACCTCTAGTTTAGCCATGGCAACTAGTGTGGCACCAGTTCCAACTTGACAAAGAAGTCTAAACTACATAAGGTCTACAATTTTACCTTCTGCTATAGGAAAATTCGTTATTTTGTTATATATCGACGTATTTGTAAATAGGTAACATTGATTAATTTCTCTCAAATTTCCAATACCCATTATTCTGTCTTTGTACTTGTTAGTTTCATCTTCTATTAAATAGTGGCGGCCGCCGTTGTGTTTTAATCGCGTATTTAATGTACACTGTAAATTGGAAATATAATTTACACAGTTGCTAATTTTCACTCAATAAATTTTACAAACAGTAACAGTGTAGGTTATTTATGTGGTTATAAATCATGATAAGTTACTTCAAACTAATAGTGCGTACAATATTTAGATAGGTAAAGCTAATCGAAATTAATTTCAAACAAATTTAAACTTGATCAAAATGTCATCAAGACGTGAAGATAGAAAGTACAAACATACATCAAAAAGACACGAAGAGTGAGTATTAAAATAACTTATGATAATCTTTAGTCGAGATTTAATTGTTAATTCTTGTTTTTGAAACTGATTTTTTATGAGTAAGTATTTAGTCTTAAGCAAATTTAATTCTGGTCCTTTAATTATATATATAGGTTATTTAATAAAATGTTAACCATTGAAAATATTGATATTTTATATTTACTAATATAAAAAGTTAATTTAATAGTTTTTTATTTAATTATCTAATTATTAATTTTTATCAAATTATCAGTTTTTATGAGAAACTATTGGTTTTACTTTACCTTATTTTTTTAAGTCCATATATTAATACTCCTATTTTTACTAAACCATTTTTGCTCAACAGTACATCAAAAGATTAAAATATTTATCTTATTAAATTTATCAGTGTTAGGAAATGTTGAATAATTTCCTTCAACCCTGTAATAAAGTAAAGTTACATAGAAAAAAATTAGTTGTTTTAAAATATTTAATGTTGAAATTAATTTTTTTTCAATTTATATTTAGATACATTTTTAAAACTAATAGATTATTTCAAATTTTTTATTAATGTTAAAACATTTGCTTTAGCAACGACATACTTTTTTAAAAATCCAATCATTAACCAAAATACTTTGAAAACTTCAATATATATATAATGAGCAAAAACTTTCTTAAATTAAATAAAAGCTAATACAATGTACATGAAATGAAAAAAGATTAATGATCAAAATTGTTAATGTCTAAAAGTTGAGCATTTAGACAAAAGATTTTAGAATTTTAAGTAAAAATGGCTAATTTTGTAGTGAAGAGATACTTGCATCATTTTAAAGTTATTTAATATATCATTAAATAAACAAAAATGTGACTTATTCTCTTTTATTAATTGGCCTCTTAAGTCAAAAATCATGTAAATTTTATGACTATGATACAATTTTTAATTTGTTTTAAATACGCGTTTTAAAATAGTGATTTTAATCAATGTCAAATATCAACTAATACTAATCGAAAAAAGATTCTCATTTCCTCTACATTAGATCCTGGTTGTACATAACTTTAATAACTTATATGGTACAGAAAATAGTTCTATGGAATATTTTTATGTATTTTTAAATGCAGTTAAAAAAAAACAAATTTTGTTTGCTAATGTAATTTTTATTTTATAGAATTCGGTTATGTAAGTTTTATTTTTAAAACTCAATCTCTTCTTGTGTTTGCTGATTAAAATATACCTATTATTTTTCACTTAAAAAGAGATCATTACATTTTTACATTTTACTAAAATTGAGTATCTCATTATTTGATAAATTCAAAATAAAGATTTAAACAATATTTTACAATTGAAATTTGATTGTAACCAAAGCATGACCATTTAAATTATACTTTCTCTTTCTGAATTCATAATTTAAGATTCTTATAAAATATATTTCCTATCTCTTCATTTATAATAAGTTGGAAATTATTTCTCAGTTCATACATTTAACCAAAAATATTATTTTTATTTGAAAATCTAATTTAAAAAAAATTGACCCTGTAAACTTAGTAGATCTGTAATTTTTATTTTTAACCGGAGTGTTTTTGTTTATACATCAATGCTATGTATTTAATAAATTTTTATTGTTGTCTCTTTTAAATTTATTCCGTGAACAAATTTTGTTTCTAGCTAAATGTGTTTTAAATTCAAAGTATAGTTTACAGTTTTATTTTTATTAATGTTGTGATTTCTATTAACAGTGCGATTTGTTATTCAAAATTTTTTCAATAATTTAAAACAATATAGTTACAAACAATTCTTTTTTTATTATTATTATTAAATAAAAGTGATTTATTTTAATGAAATTATATCAAGTTATTTTCATAAAATTTAAAAATATATAATGTTGTTATAAACATAAACGCTCCTGGTAAGTTAACTTTTATTAATGAAACTAATAATTATTTAAAGGTAACACTGAATTGTTAATTGATTTGCTATTCTTAATAAATTTATTTTGGAATACATTTATTTTAAATATTTATTATTTATTATAAAATTTTATCTTGTTATAGCAAACTGAAATACTTTAATTTTTTTTTTCAGAAATCAAGTTGTTTATTGACAACTTAACTTTATAATATAATGGTAAAAGCACATGAGCCATGGAATATTATGTCTCATTCAAGTGCACCAGCTTTACCACCAAGAAAATTATCTCAAACTAATCGACCCCCATCAATTGATATTATGACCAAGCGACTACAAAATCCTTTACAAGAACCTAATTGTATAGAAGAAGCTGATTGGTATTGGGGTGATATTACTAGAGATGAAGTTCAAGAAAAACTAACTGATATGCCAGATGGTACATTTCTTATCAGAAATGCATCTAATAAAGCTGGAGAGTACACACTAACATTAAGAAAAGGGGGAACCAATAAATTAATTAAAATTTATCACAAAAATGGAAAATATGGATTTTCTGAGCCATATAACTTTTCTTCTGTAATAGATCTCGTAAATCACTATCGCAAGGTTTCATTGTCTCAATATAATGCTACTCTTGATGTTAAGTTATTATATCCTGTATCTAGATTTCAACAAGATGATGAATTTGGAACTTGGAAAAGTTTAAATGTAGATGTAGTATGGATACGATTAATTGATATACTTAGAGAAATAATGATGAAGTCCAAATTATACGATGACTTGTCAGCAGCATTTCAAAGTGCTATGGCTGATATTTCTGCAAAACGAATGGGGTTGCAACAATATCATGAAGTTAATAAAATGTTTGATGAGCAACTAAAATTACATGATAAATATCTTAAGAAAGCAGAACGTCATGAAGCAGATGATTTAATTGATAATATTGAGGTTGTCAAAAAAAGAATGAAATATCTACAAGAAAGTAAAATTGATCTTGAAGATAAGCTCTACAGGTATTTCAATTTTTTTTTTAAACATGATCATAATTTTAATAGTCATTGGTAAATAACTTATCTAATTTTTTAATTTTATTTTTTACTAGACAAGTCTCTTATAGTCAAACTTTAGAGAGACAAATGTATCAATTAAAACAAGAAATAGCATCATTCACTCGTCAAAAAGAGAAGTCAGTTAAGTGGCTATTAACACATGGTGTATCACTAGATGCTATTAATCGTGTGTTAAATGGTGCAGATTGGTGGACTCGCAAACCAGAAGATATAGAAATGCAACTTAATATCTCACATCTGGATGAGAGTACATGGTTGCTTCAATCATGTTCACGTGCTGATGCTGAACATATGCTAAATGGAAAACGTAATGGAACATTTTTAATTCGACCCAGTAGAACTGGTCAATCGGCTCTCTCTATCGTCTGTAATGGTGTAGTTAATCATTGTATAGTTTACAGAACTCCTAAGGGATTTGGTTTTGCTGAACCTTATAATATTTATTCTTCATTAAAAGATCTAGTCCTACATTATTCGCAAACATCCTTAGAAGAGCATAATGATTCTCTTAATACTACCTTAGCATATCCAGTCTTAGCTGATAATGACATAAATAACAAATAAAATAATTACTACCAAATAGTAGGAATAATATTTATGCTACTTCGGTAAAATAAATTTGTGATATAATTTACTTTTTTAAGTATTAATTATTTATTAATGTTAACGAGTTATATAATAAGGAGCAATATTTTTTTATATTAGTGTGCATTTATTAAGACATTATTATTGATAAAACTTTTTTAACTTGTTTGTATCAAAAATACCAATACCAAATTGTTTTCTTTGTGTCAAAATTTTTATTATGTACTAAATTTATTTGTGAATATTATACAAGGAACAATGTTCAAAATAATTTATACTCTTAACAAAGTGTTTTTTTGTTAAATAAATTTTGTTTTTAATCTTAATAGTCTGTTTTTATTCTATTCTATTTATTCTATTTGTCTATAGGAAGTGCATGTGTGATGCAATGAAAAATATATTCATGCAGTGGAATGAATTGATGTAATTCATTAAGTAAATATTTAATAATAAATACATTTCAGATGTAATTATAAACTATAACTTAAAGAATATTGATTAGTAGTTAAATATTGTATAATTTTTTAAAACATGCTACAAAATAAATAATATTATTGAGTAGCCCATTTTTTAAGACAACTATTATTTAATACAGTTACATTATCTTTGATGAAAAACCATTCATTAGCTAAATTATTTTATTCAACTGCTTAATGTAAGATATGGTTGATCTCTCATAAAAAATAATTCTTATGAAAATATTTTCTGAATTAAAAATAAATAATTAATGGCAATTATTTGATTTTAGTGATGACTATGATGAACGTCGAAAAGTACATAGACGTCATAATACAGAATCTCGAAAGTCACCTGAAAGACAACACCATAGACGTAATCATTCAGATTCAGATGATGATAAAAGAAAAAGACAAAAGTATGATAAGAAGTATCATTCCCGTCACGAAAGCAACAAATCTGATGCAGATTATGAGTGGGGTTCTAAAAAGGAATCCTCAGATCAAAAAAAACATGCTACAAAAAAAGAAGAACCAAACTTTGGTACTACAGGTAAATTGGCTGAGGATACAAATACATTTAATGGTGTAGTTATAAAATATAGTGAACCAGCTGAAGCAAGAAAACCTAAACGTCGTTGGCGTTTATATCCATTTAAAGGAGAAAAACAATTGCCTGTTCTTCACATTCACAGGCAAAGTGGTTATTTATTAGGCCGTGATCGTAAAGTTGCTGATATACCCATAGATCATCCATCATGTTCTAAACAACATGCTGCACTTCAATATAGATTAATAGCTGCTAAAAAAGATGGCAGACACATTAGATGCATTAGGCCATACATTATTGACTTGGAGTCAGCTAATGGTACATATGTTAATAACCAACGTATAGAACCAAAAAAATATGTTGAGCTTATGGAAAAAGATGTTATAAAGTTTGGTTTCAGTTCTAGGGAATATGTTCTTTTGCACGAACACAGTGTTGATTCTGGAGATGACGATAGTCTTGCTGAGGATAATCCAAATGAAGAAAATAATTGATACGTAGCAAATAACTTTTTTATAATGTGTATATAACAATTAAAACATATATTAATATTCACAATTCAACATTTTGTATTTTAATGAAAACATACATTAAAAATATGTTTTAGAAAAATTTATAAAAACCTATGTTTAGTATTATACAGACTTAAACTTTTAAATAAACATAGTTATAAATATTTTATTTTTTCTAATTTATTTTTTAAAAATTGCATATATTTATAATTAAAACTGCCATTCTTATTCTTGTGATATCGTAAAAAAAAAAATGAAACTTCTAAAATAATCAATCCTTTTATAGTTACACATATAAAAAATTTATAGCTAATTAATAATTAAAAATTAACTCATTTTTATCATGAACTTATCTGTAGTTATGTAAAGTACTTGTTTAATAGTCTCTTGGCAGTCACAATATTCAATCCATGGCTTTTTCACGTGATTATGCAATATAGTTAAAAATGAATATAAAAAAGGTAAGTGTTCAATACCATCACATTCATTTTTTTTCATTTTTGAAATTATTTCATATAATTTACTTGATTGACTTAATAAAAAGTTTAGATCGATTTTTTCCATTAATGGGTACCTGTGAATTTTTAAATAAATGCATACTACTTAATTGGGTTTAAGAAAATAAATATGGAGTTATTTTTAAAATAAACAAAGCTTACTGAAATAATGTTTGAGTAGTTTCTAAAACGTCATAGGTTGGCCAATTTTCTGTACAACATTGACATTCACATAGAAAACAATACTGTCTTTTTATCATATGTTGTCTCTCCTCTTTAGTGTGTGAAGCATATACAGCACAATAGTTATCAAATAACTAAATAAAAATTAAAAAATAATTTTTTTATAATGACAAAATATTTAGTTATTACTTGAGAGTTTTTAGGAATTGGTTGAATAGCTCTAAGAATAACAATGCCATTGTAATTGTGACGCACTACATTAGGATCACAGTGGTGATTGAGCAAACTTAAAGTAGGCAATAATATAGAAGCAACTGGCATAAATTCTTTCATTTCTGGTAAACTCCAATTATTACGGTTTGGAGGTTGGGTTATACCATGTGCATTGGAAGCAACTACACAAAGTAAATGAACAATTGATTCTCCAATAATACCTAATAAATCATCTGGTATTTTCAAACCACCTAATTTCAAACATGATACAATAACAGAGGCATAACAATGCCTTATAAATAAATCGCTAACTGTTCTTTTGGATTCATTGCCTTCTAATGAGTAGGTAGAGCAAAATTCTTCTGATAAATATTGCCCAGTCTTATTAAAACCTCGAATAATGGAATCTGACATATCAACTTTTAAAGAACGCACTAGTGAAACATATTCTTCTAAACCATACTTGGAGACAGTTTTCAAAAATATGTACATGGATAAATACTCCATGTGTTCTATTCCAGGCCATTCAACAAGAGTTGAATGAAACATACATTCATATTTGTGTCCATTTTCATATGACTTTTGACGGCATTTATTGTCACAATAAATTACCTAAAATTACAAAATACATCCTATGATACACTGAATAAAGCATTAACTTGTAAAAATTAATAGATTTAGAGCAACTGCCTTTGTCTCAAAGATTGGATTAAGTTTTTTGTGAAATCCAAAATTTAAAAAGTCTCTATAACATAATCATTATTTTATTTTATATTTTATACATTTAAAGAAAAATCTGAGATCTCTAAATATTTTTGTCCAGGGATCATGAACACCCAAAGAAAAACTGAGTTTAAATTAACTATTTTTTCTCATCAAAGTTAAATTTTTATCCTCTAAAAGTAGTGATTAAAAGCATTAAATGAAGATTATACAATACATCAAATAATAACTCTTACCATGGTACACTTTTTACATGGTATACCATTTAAACATTGTTTGAAACAATAGCCACAGTTATACCCAAATGATTCATTACATAGGATACCAGCATATGGTTTTTCAATGGTAAGAACATCTCCTGTAAAAATTATAAATTTCTTTTTCAATTAGTACAATGAATCTAATTATAGGATTTGTTCAATAATTATTTTATTATAAGAGAACTCAAGGCAACTATAATAAAATTTTTTTTTTATTTTAATTAAAGATATTCAAATTTTAAAATACCTCAGAATTATCATATTGTTATATAATTAAATAACATAACATCCAACCAAAAGCCAAAATTTTATACGAAGCTACCTGTAATAGGTAGCTGAATAATTATGTCTTAGTAACTATAATATCATTTAAAAACTTTCATTTTCTTAACCTATGGTTTAGAAAATTGTTAATAATTAAATTTATAGTTATTTTAAAACTAAGGCAAAATAACAACCTGGATTAATATTATTTGTTGCAAATAAACATCTACCCATTGATTCAGAATATTTTATTTTAACAAATTTTGATAAAGCTGGTATATTTTTGTTTGGACCACCCAACAGACTAATATTTTTTTTTTCTTCAAAAAATATCTTGCATTCTTCATTATCAGTTTTAGAATTGGACAAAACATTTTTAATTTGTGCTTCAATTGTTTTTTTCTTATCTATTGGTATACTTGCTTCATTTAAATGTAAAAGGCACTCCTAGATATAATAAATTTAAGTCTGAATATTAACAAACAATGTGTTAATTATAACTTTAAACGCACTAACTTTGAATTTTTCTTTAGCTAGTTTCATATGTCCTAATTTCTTCAAACAATTACCTTCTCTTTCAAATAGTTTGTAAAACAGTGAAGGAGGATACTTGGCTTCTATTGAATGATGAATATCAGACACACAGGCTTCATATTCCTTGAGATAATAAAGGGAAGCTGATCGATTTGCTAGTGCTATAGCATAATCAGGGCTACCTATTTTAGCTGTCATTACACTAATATTATAAGAACAGTATGCTTTCACGTAGTCTTTTTTGGCAAAAAGAATGTTAGCTTCTTCTCGAATATTTCGTGCAATTTTATTGCTTTTACCACACATTTTCGTAATTTTATCAGGTAATTGTTTATGTTCTTTTAATAAATTATAAGTGTACAAAAACTTTTCTTCGGATGTTTCTTTCTTATTAAACGTCACATATACTTCACCCATCAATTCTCGTTCTTTAAAATACTCCGTAAAATATTCATTCATCCCAAAAAATGAATGCATAATTTTTCGCATTTCAAGATTAAATGTGTAACAAGACATGATAAATTATTTCTAAGCTATAAAATAATTAAAACCTTACAACTAATTTGATTAATTATAAAGACTAACGTAATATTTGGGATAATATTTTTTAAAAATTTGTCAACTTATTGATAACCAAAACATTCGATAAAACTATCTGTGTGGTCTACTAAGAGGAGATACAGATTATAAAGCTGAAATCTAAAAATAGTTTGGCAGCTACAACGTGATAAACTGAGTAGTCAGTGTAACCGCAGTTATTTTTTTATTAAGTGTGCCTACGTTGGTCAAAAAGTAGTACGAATTTATTCATACTATGGAAAAGGGTTGGCTATTGATTAATAATAATATATAGTCAGTGTTCTCGTTTACTTATCATTGCCTTTTAAAATTAAAGAAAAAAAGTCTTTGAGTAAATGATAAAATTAATAAAAATATTGATAAAGACGTAAAAAAATTTTTTGCTCTCTCTTCTTCGAAAATTCTAGATCCGCGCCTGTATATATTATACATATATTTATTAAAATACAATAAAAAATATTACTCTCTATAGATATGTACAATAAAGGGATTTAAAGTAAAGGGATGAATTATAAACGCGAGGCCAATACTTAATGGAACACCATTTGTTAATTTGAATACTTTTTTGTTGGTTATTTCCATTTTACGCGAGGAGGTCCCATATAGTTGCAAGCTCTATGCGCTTATCGTATCTTTATAGGATATACTGCGAGTATACTACACTCGGTAAATCTTTGGGTTCCTAGAAACGTTGAATTTGTGTATAATTGCGTTCGTTAATTTTACACCACAAGCTAGGTACGCCTAACTTCAAATATTTTTGTAGATACGAGAGAATAGTGATTAGATCCTCGAAAAAATCCTACGATAGATAATCGTAACGAAATTTCTGTACTCCGTATCATCTTTAAAAGTCATAGAATCCACAGGGCAACTACGAGAAGTCGTTGTGGATGATCTAACAACTGAATACGTCAGGCTGTATTAAACACTAGTCGAGAGGAGGATACCACGACGTTGCTCTGCAGCTTTCAATATAGTCGTTATTTTCTTCTGAATCCCTGATATCGTTTTCTAAAAATTGAAAATACTTTTTTTTAATACCTGGTCCCAATTTTCCAAATGTTCCTTTGTTCTGGTGACCGCAACGTCTCTCATCAAACGTATTTAACAACGATCTCTGGCGATTAAGTTGCCTACACAAAACACCTCGTGAGATATAATGTATTACTTTATATTATTAATAATATAGATTAATGAGATATAATAAATCTCTATAAATAATATTTCAGATGAATTTTACCCGTTTTAGTCTCAATAAATTCATAATTCTTAAACCATACATGTTAATAATGTATGCATTTCTTTTTCTTATATTACAATTAATATCACATTAAAACTTATTGATAAATATTAATAGTATTCATATAAGTGCAACTATATAATATATATTATTATAACCATATTATTTTTATGGTTACCTTTAAATCTTTAGAGACTTAAAATTAATTGTTGATTAATATATTTCCTAATTATTGAATAAATAAACCACTAGGAAAACTTTTTACAATGAGAATGAACTCAAGTAATTAAATATTTATAACAAATTTGTTTAGATAATAATAATAAGCACGTACATGTAGGAAGTGTTCAAGGTAAATATTGTTTATTTTGGGCACTTATATAAAAACCTTGAAAATAAAAACAATCAAAATTTTAAAAATGTGTCTAGTAAACATTACAATAGGTGGAATAAAATAGAAACTTATTCATAATAAGTATGCGTTTATAACACTTGACTACAACAAATCATGAACTCTTACTAACATTAATTGTATATATATATATTTTATCTTGAGTTATTTATCTGTTATAAAGCATGACTGTGCGTTTAATACATAAAATTACGCATTATAGTAAAATTATAGATAAAATACAACATTTTGTACAAGGATTTATTTTATAGACGCAAAGAGAGGGATGCATTAGTTACTTAGCACTTCAGAGATATCAATAGCAAATATTTCATTTAATTAATTTTATAGTAGTATAAAAACATTTTTAAAGTGAAGGGAAATTAAATTTAGCACCCCAAAAATTGTTTTGTTATTTAAGCCTATGATTTATATATTGAATGGCCGAATAGCAAAGGGACTTGCGTGTTGATGTTCACTTTAATGAAACGGGAATATATGTGTACCAGTTGTTTAATGACATGAAACATAAATTACAGCTAATAAAGATTTCAATAGTCAAAGTTAGATAAAATAATATTGATGTTTTATTTTTTTACGCCTTAATTGTATTTTTTTAATATTAAATAAATTAGAGTACTATAAAAATAATCCATTTTAGGAACACAAGAAATAATATAAAGTCACTTTTTCAAGGCTACCTTTAAAATGGGTGAGAAATATATGCTTTTATAAATCTAGTTTTTTTGATTCACAATTGATTTGATTAAATTGATTTATTTAAAAATAAAAACCAATATCTGTGATTTCTACATTGAACTTTCTTAAAATGTTCACATTAAGTTATTTAGATGATCTAATTGTTTTGTACGACTGATCAGTTAATATATAATCAAGATGTAAAACCTTATTGATAATATTAGGATATTATTTGAATATTTTTCTATTAAATTTGAGATAGTGAGTATCATTAACTCAAAAGTTCAATAAAAAAAAATGGCATCTTTAAAAAGCATTTATTCAAATTCAAACAAAAATTAATAATATAAATTTAAAAGGTATAATAAAAATAAAATTATCTCTGTTGATTTCACAAATCAAAGACTACAATAATTTTAATCATTTTAATTTTAAACTTTTATGGTAATCAGCTTAAAAGTTTGTAACTAAAAAATACTTTAAATTAAGTTTTAACTAGTAGATATTAGGTCACATATTGTAAATATCTAAATTAAATGCTTAAACTGTCACAATAGAGTAAGTATCGGATTCCATATAATCTTCACTATCGCTATCACTACTGCTGCTAATTGAATTCAAATTATGTTTTTTATCTAAAAATATAAAAATTAATATCAATTTTTTTTATAGGGTATTATAATTATATTACAATAATGTATAAACATTATAAATTTTTTAATTCCAAATATGAAAATAAAAAAGTATTGAATAGATATTTTGTACTAATTAAAAATTAATACTTATTTAAACTTATATGCAAATTTCATAAAGCACAACTATAACAACATTTTAAGTTATTATAAGTATAGTATATAACTTATTCCAAAGTATTAATATATTTCTGCTTTAAGTAATGTTAAAAACGTTACTATAATAACGTAGTATATCTCCTAGAGGCAGAACTACATACGATAAAAACGAGAATTCCTTCAGTTCTCCTGATAGTTCAGAATTCTAAATTTTACAACTTTGATGAAAATAAAATTAGTTTTTTTTCTTAATAGCAGATCAGAAAATTCATTAAACACTATATTTGTTTACCCAACACTCAAAAAGAAGGCATGGATAAAAACATGTTTACTACAGATATTAATTTACAGAATTGAGAATTTATTTTATTATTACTATAGTAAAGAGATTTTTTTATAATTGATTAATTCACCAAATGTATCAATATAATCGATATTGTAGCAATAAATTATAAAATAAAAAACAATGTTACAAAAAAACGGTAGCACAGTGGGGTCGAGGCACAGTGTGGACGAGGCATAGATGGGACAAGTATAGATGATATCTGACAGTGATTAAAATCACTATCATAAGAAACGCTTCGATGCAAATCTGTAGATAGTGTTTCCTTTAGAGAAATTNTAATATAATTGAAAATTTATAATTACTTAAAATTATTTCGAATACCATAAAAAAAGATAACCTTCGGCTCATACTTTATTTTAATACGCATTGCTAATTAACGTCCAAATTACACACGAATAACGTTATCTATTATGTTTTAAGGAGAATTTTAAGCATACCACAAATAGATGTCAACGTTTTATAACGTTAATGCTCACGAAACAGATAAAAATTTTTAAATTCTGTATTTAATCTGCGCACTATTAATTCTAAAGTAATAATTATATAATGTTTGTTTTAAGAAAATATATATTTATTTGTGTTTTTATTTAGGCGACCTATCTAGCTCAGTTGGTAACGCGTCGTGTCTCGGTGCGTATGTACTGAGGTTTGATTCCTTGCACTGCGTGGTTTCCCTTTTTCTCTGACACAAACAAAAGCTTTTAGAGAAGACATTAACACGATTAAACTTAATCAATATGTAATTTAAAATAAAAAATTACTCCTAATTTCAAAATTATTATTATTCATTTATATGCAATAATAAAATGTACATCATCAACCGAAAGAGAATAGTCCACACTTGGGGCCGCATTTAGGAGGTTACAGAATGCAATTACCCCAGCACTAAAATATGAATATAATTTTAGAATGAAATGACTTTTTTTTTCTCATTCAAATAAAAAACGATAAAATAAAATAGCAATACAAAAAAAATAGAAAACAATTTTTTTTGGTTATTGTGGTCGACAGAATTGAGTACGCCGAAAGCATAATTTCTAAATGTGGCTCTGGTTACACTCATCTAACCTCAGGCTTGCGATGCCGTGGTTATTAAAAAAATGTACAAATACAGAGTGAACCAGATCAAAATAATTATTGCTTACTTAGACTATGTTTAAAGCAAATTTTTATTATTCAACATTATTAAGAAAAAACATAGAAATTAATTTTTTTCAAAATTTCAAAATAGCAATTTTTTTTTAATGTATCGATGTCAATGTCGGAGAAGTATTCGTTGAGTAACAATCATTTTGATACTCATTGAACGTCTGTGGCTATGTAGTGACGATGGATGTATCTTGTACTGACATGTTTATAACGCAAAACCCACCTGCGTTAAGTTGTAAGAGTTGTCAGTAAAATCTGGTTCACCCTGATGGATAATTTTGATACGGTTATTTTGTGTAACCCTTGGGTTACTGTTTACAGACATTTGGGTATATCTATATTAATATATAATTTTTAAAATAATTTAAAATTCAAAAACGTTTTATGTCACCCCATTATATTTTATCACATAATAATTGTATAACTAAAGAAATCAACAATTTTCTTAATTAAAACAACTTTATAAGAATTGTAATCGGAGACTAAATTTTTGATTACAACTAGTTATAGGAATAATGAATAAAATTATTTACTAGGTCCATGATATTTGTACTTCCTTTTGCATTTTTCTTTATTCATATGATGTTTTTTATTTTTTTTGCCGTCCATCATATTTTTAAAATGATGGCCTTTCTTCATCATATGTTTGATATGGTGTCCCTTTTTCATTTTCATAAAATGTGATTTAGGTCCTGAGTCTGATTCGATATCAGAATTATGACGTCTTTTCTTCATTGTAAATTTAAAATGGTGTCCTCTTTTTATTTTATCAAAATTTCGTTTTGGTTCAAAATCTGATTCCTCATAAGAATGACTAAATCCATTATTCATCATATGTTTAAAATGATGTTCTTTTTTCATTTTCTTGAAATTGTGTCCTCTTTTCATTTTTTTAAAATGTAATTCTGGCCCCATTTCTCTTTCAAATTTGTCATGTCTCTTTTCCATTTTGTTTGAGTACAACTCGGAGTGTAATAAATCACTAAAATGTATGTTCTTCATGAGTTTTTTAAATATTTTTGCATAAAATAAACTTTTTAATTCATATCTTTTCATCATTTGATTCAAAAAAAATTCTTGTGCAATGTGATGATGTCCCTTGTAACTTTTCATATGATGCTCTTTACCATATTTCCATGATTTCATTTTGATATCAACACTTTGTAAAAAATAAAATAAATCACTTTTTTAATTAACTCGAAAACCCGCCACGGTAGTCAACACAGATGTACTGACGACAAAAGAGTGCCTGCTTACAGGATGACAGGCAGCACGTAGAATTTTGATTGAGCCTGGTCCCGTCACCTTGATTTTTACCACCACTCATTATTTTAAACGAAATCAAACGTTTGAAATTCATAACAACAGCAAAGTAATGACATGATAACAATGTAAACGCCCCTTGTACTATGACTTTTTAGTACAATGATCAACTATTACTTTATGATAAGTAATGACGTAAAAACAAACAATCAATTTTGAATTACCCGATGAGCTGCGTTCATAAATTGGCGTATTCAAGATTATTTTATGAGAGTGGGGAAGTACTAACACTTTTATGAAGCAACTAAAATAAAATTATATCAATATATTTCAAATGATTTTGAAAGGAATGTAAATTATGTATAAAACCCAGCACAGTGAGGTGGCGGCACAGTGGGGTCGTGGCATAGTTGGGTCCAGTATAGATGATATCTGACAGTGATTAAAATCACTATCATAAAAAACGCTTCGATGCAAATCTGTAGATAGTGTTTAATTAAAAAAAAAAATTTCTTAAAATAGCATATTTTTGAATATAGTAGCCATTTGCGCATAGAAGATAGGTCGTCGGGACAAATTTTTTTTTTCATTTTATAGTACATAAAATAAGCTTTAATTTGATATATGTTTGAAGGACTCAGTATTTCCGGAACATTTTCAAAAATTAAGTTGAAAAAGTTATTTTTTGTAAAAAAATTACTATTTTAAATCCCCCCAGTGAGCAGAATAAGTGTTAGATTTTCAAAAAAAATTATATCAAATGAAAGGGAAATATCTAAGGTTTCAATACAAAAAAATATTATTTTTATTTGTTCATTTTTGAAAAAGTTATGGCAGTTTTAAGTACAAAAAACATCCCGATAAAAGGTAATTTTTATCGCAAACATTACATTTATTTTTAATCTTCGACAGCCATTTGCACATAGAAGATAAGAGGTCGGGACAAATTTTTTTTTTTCATTTGATAGTATATAACATAACCTTTGATTT